AAAAAATTCATCACTGTTTGCATTGTGTCCTATGGGCAAGGTTAGTTGTTTTAGGATGATACCAAACCACCGGTCTGATATGTTTTGCATGTTAAGCGAGTTATCAGCCATCTCGAAAGGTGTTGGCACACGGCGTAGACATGAGTTCTCACTGACTTAGACGTTATAGATCTTCATTTCATAGTTCTATAAGATCAGGGGAAACCGTTTTGAAAAAAATCAGCTTTGCAGCTTGTGCCGATTTGTTCGCGTTCATTTAGCTCACTTCTGGAAAAGTCCGCACACTTCAGGAAAATTCTGCAAAACTTAAGGAAAATTCCGTGAACTTCAGGAAAGTTTTGTGAAATTCGGGAGAATTATGTGGGCTTCAGGAAAGTTCTGCGAACTTCCGGAAAATTCTGCGAACTTCTTGAAGTTTCTTCTAATTTCTGGAAAATCTTTCGATTTTATGGGAAATTCTGCAATCTTCATTGAAGTTCAAGAAAACGCTGCGATCTTCAGGATAGTTCCGTGAATTCCACGCAAGTCGTGTGAACTTCTGAAAAAATTCTGTGAACTTCAGGAAGTTCTGTGAACTCCATGAAATTTCATCGACTTTCAGGAAAATTCTGTGAACGACTTAGAAATTCTGTGCGTTTATTGAAAGTTCTGCGAAATTCAGGAGAATTCCTCGAACTATATAAACTTCAGGAAAGTTCTCTGAACATCAGGAAAATTGTGCAAGATTCAGGAAAGTTCTGAAAACTTCAGGAAAATTCTCTGATTTCAGGAAAGTTCTCAAAATTTCAGAAAAATTCTCTGAACTCAGTACAGGTCTCTGAACTTTAGGAAAGTTCTTTGAACTTCAGGAAAGTTCTTTGAACGTCAGAAAAGTTCTCTGAACTTCAGGAAAGTTCTCTGAACTTCAGGAAAGTTCTCTGAACTTCAGGAAAGTTCTCTGAACTTCAGGAAAGTTCTCTGAACTTCAGGAAAGTTCTCTGAACTTCAGGAAAGTTATCTGAACTTCGGGAAAGTTCTCTGAACTTCAGGAAAGTTCTCTGAACTTCAGGAAAGTTCTCTGATCTTCAGGAAAGTTCTCTGAACTTCAGGAAAGTTCTCTGAACTTCAGGAAAGTTCTCTGAACTTCAGGAAAGTTCTCTGAACTTCAGGAAATTTCTCTGAACTTCAGGAAAATTCTCCGAACTTCTGGAAAGTTCTCTGAACTTCAGGAAAGTTCTATGAACTTCAGGAAAGTTCTCTGAACTTCAGGAAAGTTGTCTGAGCTTCAGGAAAGTTTTTTTTTCAATTTCAGGAAAGTTCTCTGAACTTCAGAAAAGTGCTCTGACCATCAGGAAAGTTCTTCGAACTTCAGGAAAGTTTTCTGAACTTCAGGAAAGTTCCCTGAACTTTAGGACAGTTCTTTGAACTTCAGGAAAGTTCTTTGAACTTCAGAAAAGTTCTCTGAACTTCAAGAAAGTTGTCTAAGCTTCAGAAAAGGTGTCAGAGCTTCAGGAAAGTTTTTTTTTTTCAATTTCAGGAAAGTTCTCTGAACTTCAGGAAAGTTCTCTGACCATCAGGAAAGATCTTTGAATTTCAGGAAAGTTGTCTGAACTTCAAGAAAGTTCTTTGAACTTCAGGAAAGTTCTCTGAACTTCAGAAAGTTCTCTGAACTCCAGGAAAATTCTCTGAACTTTAAGAAAATTCTCTGAAATTCAGGAAAATTTTGTGAACTTCAAGAAAAAAATTGAACTTCAGGAAAGTTTTGTGAACTTAAAGAAAATTGTGCGATCTTCAGGACAGTTCTCAAAACTCAAGGAAAGTTCTCTGAACTTCAGGAAAGTTCTCTGAAATTCAGGAAAGTTCTCTGAAATTCAGGAAAGTTCTCTGAACTTCAGGAATGTACTCTGAACTTCAGGAAAGTTCTCTGAACGACAAGAAAAATCTTTGAACTTCAGGAAAGTTCTCTGAACTTCAGGAAAGTTCTCTGAACTTCAGGAAAGTTCCCTGAACTTCAGGAAATTTGTCTGAGCTTCAGAAAAGTTCTCTGAATTTCAGGAAAGTTGTCTGAGCTTCAGGAAAGTTTTTTTTTTCAATTTCAGGAAAGTTCTCTGTACTTCAGGAAAGTTCTCTGAACTTCAGGAAAGTTGTCTGAGCTTCAGAAAAGTTTTTTCAATTTCAGGAAAGTTCTCTGAACTTCAGAAAAGTGCTCTGACCATCAGGAAAGTTCTTCGAACTTCAGGAAAGTTTACTGAACTTCAGGAAAGTTCCCTGAACTTCAGGACAGTTCTTTGAACTTAAGGAAAGTTCTTTGAACTTCAGAAAAGTTCTCTGAACTTCATGAAAGTTGTCTAAGCTTCAGGAAAGGTGTCTGAGCTTCAGGAAAGTTTTTTTTTTCAATTTCAGGAAATTTCTCTGAACTTCAGGAAAGTTCTCTGACCATCAGGAAAGATCTTTGAATTTCAGCAAAGTTGTCTGAACTTCAAGAAAGTTCTTTGAACTTCAGGAAAGTTCTCTGAACTTCAGAAAGTTCTCTGAACTTCAGGAAAATTCTCTGAACTTTAAGAAAATTCTCTGAAATTCAGGAAAATTTTGTGAACTTCAAGAAAAAAAAATTGAACTTCAGGAAAGTTTTGTGAACTTAAGGAAAATTGTGCGATCTTCAGGAAAGTTCTCAAAACTTAAAGAAAGTTCTCTGAACTTCAGGAACGTTCTCTGAACTTCAGGAAAGTTCTCTGAACTACAAGAAAAATCTTTGAACTTCAGGAAAGTTCTCTGAACTTCAGGAAAGTTTTCTGAACTTCAGGAAAGTTCTCTGAACTTCAGCAAAGTTCTCTAAACTTCAGGAAAGTTCTCTGAACTTCAGGAAAGTTTTCTGAACTTCAGGAAAGTTCTCTGAACTTCAGGAAAGTTCTCTGAACTTCAGGAAAGTTCTCTGAACTTCAGGAAAATTCTCTGAACTTTAGGAAAATTATCTGAACTTCAGGAAATTTTTGTGAACTTCAAGAAAAAAATTGAACTTCAGGAAAGTCCTGTAAAGTACAATATAATATATTAAAGCAAAAAATATGAATGAATATTTTCATTCAATTCCTCTACAATATTTCTATCTTGACATATATGCGCCTTTCGTTTACTACTTGCAAGCTGAACCTTCATGAACAAGGCAGTAGAAGTTTCGCATATTTTTCCTAAATTAAAGTACCTGAATCTTGATAAGTTTACGTAGAAATTTCTTATATAAGTTGGTTTTAATTTGTTTTTATCTTTAATGAGCCTGCACGTAGTTTGCAAAATGCGCATCTGTAAAAGTTCAAATATTGTAGTGACATTAAATAGAAATACTCATTCATATACGTATTTCCTTTAAAAAGTCATCCATTAAAAAATCTTTGACAATCAGGAAAATTCTGTGAACTTCTGTGAAGTTCTGAAATATTATGGGATGTTCTGCGAACCTCAGGAAAATTCTGCAAACTTCAGTAAAATTCTGTGAACTTCAGAAAAAATTATCAAACGTCAGTAGAATTCTGTGAAATTATGGAAAATTCTGCAAACTATAGGATTTTCTTCAAATTTCATCAAAATATTGTGAACTTCTGGGAAATATTTTAAATTTATGGGAAATCCTTGGGAATTCAAAAGAATTCTGCAAACTTCAGGGAAGTTTTGAACTCAATGCAAGTTCCGTTCAGGAAATTACTTTGGATTCCAGGAAAATTCTGCGAACTTATGAAAAATTTTACGAACATATGGGGACTTCAGGAACATTCTGCAATCATTAGGAATATTCTTCGAACTTCAGGAAAGTTTTGCAAACTTCAGAAACGTTTGGAATCTTGATTAGAAACGTCTGGATATCCCGGTGAGAACGTCTGGACCTTCCGTCAGGTCCGCCTTGAATCAAAAGCTTTGTACATCTGAAATCTTCGTCTAGAATATCTAGAATCCAGGTTGGCATCGTCTATCGAAAACGTTTAGAACCTCTGCAGGGTGTCTCTGAATCCCTCGTTAACAACGTCTAGAATCCAATTAGAGATTACTCATTGGGAACGTCTGGAACTTCCATCGAAAATATCCGGAAACACTTCGGGAACGCCTGAATTAACAGTTGGAACGTCTGGAATAATCTTTGAGAATGTCTCGAGTTCAAATCGGGAATGTCCGCTGGAACGTTGAAAATTTCTGCAATCCCTATTAGGAACGTCTGTAATCCGGATCGGAAATGTCTGGAATCGCTCCAGGAACCACCTGGTATCTCCATTGGGAACTACTGGAATCCTTTTCAGATTCGAACACACTTTGGAAACGTCTTTACTAGCCTTCCGGAACGTCTGGAATCTATATCAGGAACGTCTGGAGTCTTCGTCATGAAGTTTGAAATCATCTTCGGGAACAACTGGAACCTAAGTCTGAAAAGTCTGGTGTTCCAGTCGGGAACGACAAGATCCTCCGTCTCGAAATTCTCAAATCCAACTCAGGATCGTCTGGAATCCAAGCTGAGAGTGTCTGAAATCTCCAATGGGAACGTCTCAAATCCATGTTGGGAGAGTCTAGATTTCCCACGTTTGGATCTTCCATCGGAAACGTCGCATATTTCTGTTGGGAAAGTCTCGAACCCAAGTCGAGAACGTCTGGAACCTCCATCAAGAATACAAAAAATCCACCTTAGGATTCTCTCAAAGTTCATAGCTTGCAGTGATGACATATAAACTTGCGCTAAAACGATGAACAGAGCATTGAATTCGGTTCGCTATCATAGCTAAACAATAACTTGCAAGTCATAACTACACAAACCGATTCCGGCACCAATTATTGAATTCAGTTGTACCAGGACGGTTGGACTCGGACCTCGCCATAAGTGGATTAATTCAAGATTAAAAAATGCTATCATTTAAACGAGTATAGCGGCACGAATGTGATTGCAATCACCCAACGATAACCGCTCCCGCAGCAGAAAGACTTGCTTCATAAAAAGATGCTTCCCTTCAACATGGAGCGACAGTTAGCACTACTCAATCATCATGTTTGGCAAAGTTAGTGTATTCCTGAGTTTTGCCGTTGCTCTAGCAACGGCTGCCATACAAACCAATCCAAGCAGACCGGTGCTATTTGGAACCCATCGAATCATACCACGGGAGCCTGCTGAGATCGAGTTGAACAGTACCGCCCTTTGGCATACGGCCAATATGCGGCAGGTCTACACCAATCCTCAGGCTCGGAATTTCTACTCGATGCGATATGTATCGAACGATCGGTACTACCAACGGGGTGGTCCAATTTTCCTCTTTGTTGGAGGTCCATGGCCATTGAAGACACACTTTGTCGAACAAGGCCACTTTGTTGATATGGCCGCACAGATGAACGGCTTCTTGGTCGCTAATGAGCTACGGTACTACGGAGAGAGTTTACCGATTGAGTAAGTATGCAGCATTCAGTTTCTACACAACCTAATCGTTGACTGACACATTTCTATAACAATTTAGAGACGCTAGCCGCAACAACTTCCGCTATCTGCACAACGTTCAAATTCTATCGGAACTGGCAACGTTCATTGCACATATCAAGGATGATGTTCTCAGAGATCCTAGCGCGAAAGTGATTCTAGCTGGAGTCGGCTATTCCGCCTCGTTGGCTCAGTGGATGCGACAACGGTTCCCTCATCTGGTGCACGGTGTTTGGTCGTCCAGTGGTATGGTGGAGACCAGTATAAACTACGGCGTGTTTGCCGAAGATGTTGGTGAAAGCATTCGACGGTTCGGGAGCAACGAGTGCTTCAGTGTCATTTGGCGGGGATTCCGTACCGCTGAGAACCTCATCGATGCAGGATTTTCTGGAACCGTAGATAACATGTTCAACGTATGCCGTCCTATCGATGCCCATAATCCGCTCGATGTGGAAGCATTCTTCTATGGTATCTTCAACGAAATCAGCTCAGAAGCGGTTGACTTCAACCTAAGTGAAAATATCGAACGCATGTGCGATTCTTTGACGGATTCCAGTCACGAAAACAGTCTGACAGGGCTGGCAAACTGGTTGACCAGCCGTTTCCCGGACGCAGATTGCTTGGCAATGGATTTCGAAAGCATAGTGGACACATACGGGGCAATTGTTTGGGAAGATGAAATTCTCCAAACCGGTGAACGTCAATGGTTGTTCCAGCGTTGCACCGAATTCGGGTGGCCACTGACGACTGACTCGCCGAATCAGCCGTTTGGTACTCATTTTTCTACCGACCTTTTTCATGGTATTTGCGAACGGCTGTTCGATGAATGGTTGACTCGTGACCGATTCGAAACGTTAATCCGGCAAACTAACGATTACTATGGAGGTAATCGTCCCGACATAAGGTATAGCATCTTCACCCATGGTGCACTGGATCCCTGGCGGTTTTCCGGTGTAACTGAAGTCATTTTCAACAATACGTACGTGAATATCATTCCGGATGCTTTCCATGGACAAGATTTGGCATCCATCTCGGAGGATGACTCGGAAGAACTGAGACGGAGTAAGGAGATGGTGACTGATACGATTCGCAGGTGGCTAGAAAGTAGATAGAAATGAGGAAACTTTCAATAACATTGCAATGTGACAAGTTATTCGGTAAAAAAAATAGTAAAATTGCTATTCAAAAATGTGTATGGGAAGCATCACCGTAATGTGGAGGCAAGGTTGGCACTGGCCAATCAAATGTTTTAGAGAAGTTCTACGATGGTTCTATCAAAGTTGAAATAAAAGTTATTTAATATGATAACACTCGAGTATTCATGGCTATCCATTTGGCTCCATTTCTCTTTAAGTACGGGTCAATGTTTGTCTGAGGCTTGTTGTACTCGGGTGGGCTTTAGAACAGGCCTTGGCCTTCATGACGCGCCATATTGAGTAATCCAGCGGATTAAGATCGGGGTTGGATGGCGGCCACATATCCTTCGCCCAGAATGGAAGATGCTCCTGCAACCACTTCTGAGTGCGGTTCGAGGTGTGGCACGTCTTTTACCGGAAGAGAACTAATATACCGGTCGGTTCTGGAATTTGATACGGGATCGACGAACATGCTCTTGTCGATGAACAGGATTACCGGATTTTTTCGCTTGAGGAAGTTCAAGATTTTCTTGCATCGTTCGACTCGTAGCTCACGGATGCGGTTGGTAAACATATAAGTTTTTTTTTTTTTTCCGTGCCCTCGACTTCGCCCCGTAATCTTCCTTTACGATCTTCCGTGCCGTAAAGTCACTGATCCCGTGTTCCTTTGCCATTTTCCTTATTAAACGCACTGGATTCACCCGAATCTTCCTTTTGATAGTAGCGATAACCCTCGGAACCCGAGCTGACCTCGGACGACCTGTGGCCACCTTCGCGGATAGTTGTCCTTTCTTTTCTCGGTCTAAAACTCTTTTCACGGTCCTCCGGGACACTCCCACGGCGATTGAAATGTCTTTTGCGACATTTGCGCGTGGTACAAATCACGAATACGCTGCCACTTCGTCATGGTGCAACTGTCAAACTAATAGCGAATTCGTTTATTATCGGGGTTGGAACCAGTTCCAACCCAGTGCGAAACCGAACTTTTTGTCAGTGCGAACCTCAACCTGAGCTAGGTTTTAAAAACAAACGAACAAACTGACGTTTGTCAGAAAACAAGCAGACCCAATCTTGATACCCGATCCAGGTTGGAACTGAATAATAAACGAATTCGCTATAAGTAAATCATTTTCTTTTATACATAGCCTACTACCATAGAGGTAACTCTAAGACCAGAAGGAAAGCACTGTATTACCTGGAAGAATAACACTATCCTTCAGTGCAAACTATTGATTGTTGAAAAATAAAATTTAATAAACGTGTTTTCTTAAGTACAATCAGTAATTACTGGATTGAAATCATTCGTTGCTAGACCGTCTAGCAGTATAGTTCGTTCGTTCGTTCGCTTCGCTATCGAGTTTTTTTTCTAGTCCGTTTTATTGCTACGTGCGCGTCGTGGAAGTGCCGACATCGACAGGCGCATTGGCAAGCCTAATTGCACTTGCCAATAAAAGCATGGTACGCAAGCGTACTACTGCTCCTGCATCGGAGGGCCCTAGCAAGAAGGCCCAAACTGATCCCAGCGCTGCTTCGGATGACGCAGCAAATCGGCTGCTTCAGAGCAACCAAGCAACCAGTAGAAAATGGCGGTGGTGACGCCGCTGAAATTGCGAAAAAGGAGCGGATTCCCCCGCTGTTTACCCCGATGAAGGACGTCACCCAGCTTAGGGATGAGCTGGCAAAACGCAAATTGTTCCCGCGATTCAAAATCTGTAGCGTTGGAACAAAGATCATGTGCTCCAGCCTACAGCAGTACAAGTCGGTCGGTGACCTGCTGAAGAACAGCACAGTGGAGTTTTACACTCACGATTTGCCTTCGATGAAACCATTGAAGGTTGTTTTACGAGGTCTGCCGTCGTACAAAGCGGCTACCGTAAAAGATGAGCTGGTGAGGCTCGGATTGAAACCAGAGGCAGTCCACCCAATGAATCGACGGCCTATGCCCAATACCAACTATCGTGACCAACTGTTTCTGGTCCACCTTACGAAGGGCTCCACCACCCTTGCTGCGCTCAAGAGCAACATACGTGACCTGTTTCAGGTCATTATCGACTGGGAATACTACAAGCCGTAACACCGTGATGTGACCCAATGCACAAGTTGCCTCTCCCTCGGCCATGGCACGAAGAACTGTCATATGAAACCACGCTGCGACAAGTGTGCTATGGCCCACTCGACGTGCTCAAGCTGATGACACCGACCCGAAGTGCGTGAATTGCTGCGGAACTCACCGTGCCACTACTCGGGACTGTCCCAAGCGAACGGAATTCATCACCATGAGGAAGAAGGTGGCTACTAGCAACCAGCCAGGCCGACATCGAAATAAACGTGCACCACCAGCCATCACGGACGAACAATACCCGGCAATCCATCCTCGTCGTCTGGTCCCAAATCTTCCACCACTACCTCTCAACAACAGTCAACGAGCCGCCCCCTCAGCTCAACATCGCCTCACTGCTGCTGCAGCTCTGCCAAATCAAGCTTCTGCCCCGGCGCCTGGACTATCGTATGCGCGTGTTGCCTCAGGTGACTCAGTTGACGAATCTACGTTAACATCAGAGGAACTAGTAACGCTGGTTGCAGAGGTGATCGTCATTCTGCGCACCTGCAAGACTCGATCTGAACAGTTTCATGCTGCCTTGTCACTCGTCACCAAGTATGGACTGTGAAGCTGCCTTTCCTCAACACCAAAGAGGTCGACATTGCTATCATCACCGAGACGCATCTGAAGACCGAACTGAACGTATTCCTTCCCGACTTCCGGCTCGTCAGACTTGATCGCACCTGCTCTGGAGGTGGAGGAGTGACCATCGCTGCAAGATGGAACATCAGTTGCTGGCTGCTACCAAACTTCCAGCTGAACACAATTGAAGCCATCGGAATGGAGGTGAGCACATCACTTGGCCCAATCACCATCATCGCGGCTTACTGCCCCAAGCAAACCAACATCAGGGACGGGTCGTCAGTGGCCCTCCGCCAAGACATCATTAAACTCACCCAGAGGAGCGGGAACTTTATCATCGCTGGCGATCTGAACGTAAAACATCAAGCTTGGGGCAACGGTCGGAGCAATAGAAACGGCATCATCCTCAATGAAGACCTGCAAGAGGGTCACTATACCATCTTGGCCCCGGACTCTCCCACCCGGTTGAGTCGGTCTGGGGTCCATGCGACCATCGACATCTTCGTAAGCAACATGGGACACAACGTCTCGCAACCTGTGGCATTCCAGGAGCTGAGCTCGGACCACTACCTGGTGGTGGCCGAAGTTGGATCCTCGGTAAACCGATTCGAAGCTTCCCGGCGCAACTACCATCGAGTCAACTGGGCGCAATATCAACACTGCGTCGACACAACCATCGACTACGATGTCCAACTGGGGACGTCGGAAGATGTTGACCGGTGTCTACACACCATCGAGGAGGCGATTTCCCGGGCCAGGGAACAACACGTGCCAGTATCCAGACAGGTGAGTAACACTCTGAACCTTGACAGCCCTACCAAAGATCTCATTAGACTCCGTAACACCATTCGTAGGCAGTACCAGCGTACTGGCCTGCCTAACCAATTGTAATCTATTAACAAAGATCATTCAGGCCAGGATGGTAGATCTCAGAAACAACGATTATGCTAGTAAGATCCGCTCTCTCCCAGATTGTGCTAAGCCCTTCTGGAAACTTACAAAAATTCTTAAAAACAAGCCTAGGCCCATTCCCCCACTGACCCCACTGGATCGTCCCGGCGACCCAGTGGTTCATCTGATAACTCCTGAAGAGAAGGCTGCCGCGATAGGTCAACACTTCGTTAGCTCCCATAATCTCGGACAAAACATCATCAGCCCTCATGAATCTGAGGTTGCTGAAAATGCAACCAATCTTCTTCAGATTCCTAACATTTTTCCAGAGGAATCCGAGATTACGGCTGACGTACTGTTGGCCTATATCTAATCATCTAAAAACATGAAGGCCCCAGGTTTGGACGACATCCTGAATCTGGAACTAGAACACTTGAGTTCCAGATTCTACAACCATCTGGCACTGATTTTTAATCAGTGCCTCAGACTTGGCTACTTCCCCTCGTGTTGGAAGTCTGCTAAAGTCATACCCATCCGGAAACCTTGGAAGGATCCGTCCTCTCCTTCAAGTTATCGACCAATCAGCCTTCTCTCAGAATTATCAAAACTATTCGAAAGAGCACTGTACCACCGGCTCCTAACATCTGCCGATGAAAACATCTTGTTACTCGAGGAACAGTTTGGTTTTCGGAAAGGTCGTTCGACCGTCCACCAGCTGACTCGAGTAACAAACATTCTCAGACGAAACAAGTCTGTTTCGAAAACATCTGCCATGGCGTTGTTGGACGTTGAAAAAGCATTCGACAATGTCTGGCATGATGGCCTGGTGTTCAAATTGCACCAGTACGGTCTTCCAATCTACCTAGTGAAAATCATAAACAACTATCTATCAGACAGGACGTTCCGAGTCTCTCTGAATGGCATCTCATCGGATGCTTTCAACATCGGTGCCGGGGTTCCACAAGGAAGCATTCTTGGTCCCATCCTATTCAACCTGTTCACCTCCGATATGCCGGCTCTTCCTGATGGTGGATCGTTGTCTCTGTTCGCAGATGACACATCCATCGTCTACAAGGGTAGGGTCATCGGAGCACTGACTGCCAAACTTCAGAGAGGCCTGGACGTCCTGTCTGAATATTTCAACAGCTGGAAGATCCGTATCAACGCGGCAAAGACCCAGGTCATTATCTTTCCACACTCTAAATCTCCTAGACTTGTTCCGTCGGAGAATAACAAGATCTGCCTGAACGGCACAGTGGTGGAATGGTCCAAAGAGGTCGTGTACCTCGGGCTAACACTAGGCAGTAAGCTTCTTTTCAGGGAGCACGTTGACAAAACAAAAACCTAGTGCAACAGGAAGTCAACCCTGTCCCTGAAAAATAAGCTTGCTGTCTACAAACAAATCATCCTTCCTGTAATCGAGTACGGTATGCCAATCTATGAGAGTTGCGCAAAATGCCATAACCTTAAACTCCAAAGGATCCAGAACAAGATCCTTAGGATGGTCCTAAACAGTCCCCCGCGGATTAGAATTTCTGAGATCCACTTCCTGGCTGGAATTCAAACATTAGAAGAACGGAGAGTATTCATCCTGGAAAGGTTCAGACATACCTGTCTGAGATCAAATCATCAGCTCATACGTGATCTAGCACGTTAGGTTAAGTTATACTCGTAGTTAGGTAGGTTATCACTTTTTTTCAATTCAAATAAAACACATCCCCAGAGGGATATTCTGTAAACTACCCTAATAAACGGGTACCATACACTAACAATATCATAGATGGTACGACCATACCACATAAAGTTAGGATGATACCCCGAATTGGTGGTTAGGCGCTTCTTATGGTTATTGTTTATGCGGGTAGTTGAAAAACGCAAATATTAAATTAGAATATCAAATTAAACAAAGATGAAGAGCCAAGTAGGCTAATCAATTAAAATGATAAATCAATGTACTACCATAATCAACAAAAATAAACATAATTTTACTACTACTTGGATTGAAATGAATGTTTCTCTCCCAACACAAATAAAAATATTTTTTTAACTGGCTTACACGGTATTTGCCAAGAAAGAAATAGCTGTCTTGTCAGTTAACTGCCGACAAAATAACGTTCGCATTTACTGGGCTTACCAGTTAATATAGCCGAATGCAACTCGCATGTATGACTGAACGTGCAGTAGTTTTTGACAGCTTGATTTAACTGATAATTCTGTAACTAAAATTATTGCTGATAACTGGGTGACCCGCAATTCAAAAACCCAGAAAATATTTACTGACTTCGGTAATCTCGACTAAGTGTGTGCAATAAGTTATTATGCGATAAAAAATATGCTTGAAATGCGAGGATAAAAGAAAAATATTTTGCAGAATAAAAAAATACCAGCTATATATAATTTGCATTTGCTACTTTACAGAATTTCTCACAAACAGAATCATCCCATCCATCCAAATGAAAATCCATCCCACTGCCAACCCGTCAGAGCAATCTAATAAACGTAAATTTCAAAGATAATCATTACATCGGAAGAAATCGATTTTAACAGCAAGCGCATTCGTGGCCGCACTGAACCAGCAATTGATAACCGTGGAGAAAAAGGCGTGGGAGAGTCCAGTTCAAAGAACATCACCATTTGCGCGGAACGTGCTGTATCTTTCGTTGCGCTAGTCGCGCCATCAGAATAAGCTACCATGTTTCCTACCGATTCATCCCTCCAAGGTAAAGGAAAAAAAAAAGTTTATAATTTTATGCATTAATTTTTTATTGGACTGAACGCGGGACGGTCACGTGCTAATTTTGTTCCCGTTCGGTGGATGGAACAGATATACGTTTGAACGATTATGAATCTATCAAGTGGATGATTCGAAATTAGTTTATTGGAATCCGAGTTAGTTTTTTGTTTTGTGTTAACGTAATAAAAAAGAAATATCAAACAATTTAACGATGTTGTAGCATACCAATTGGGAATATTCTCCGCAGACTTTGCAACTTGAATTTGTATGTATGGGTAGAATTACCATCAACCTTTTGATCCTAGTTGTACGATCTTTTCATCCTCCAGCGAAGATTTACCTCATACAGCAAAGTTGTTAAAAGTTACTCATATTATAGAACAACGATGCATGGAATCTCATGAAGGAATTAACATACAGAGCGAAGCGGTGAGCTAAGCTAAGGATTTTAGCAGACAAAAATAAAATTCACATGCTTTAAATGTTCGGCTCATCAAGCTTCAAAACGTAGAATCTATACCAGAACTTTCAAAAAGTCTAGTCTCATAACACCGTGCTGGGTGCCGATGATGGTTGTCTCCAACTTTGATTATGTGCGAATAATATCACGTAATAATGTCGTATGCCAGAGCTGCTGGAATGAATGGGAAAAGTTTTTCTCTCCCCCGATTTGTGGCGAACAGTTTTACAGATAATGGCAATTATGTATTAGACCTGCTGCCTTCTGCATTTGAGTTGCACACGGAGAAATCGTTTGTATTGACGT